TAGGATGAAAATGATGCTAAATTTTAAGACAAAATAGATAAGCTATAAACTATTTTTATTCAGGAGCAATCCAAATAATTTTGATGGTAGGTGGTGGCTAGTATGTCCTTTCTTTCTGTGAGTACAAAGTTGAGCCCGAATAGAAAGTGCATACTTCCTGTGTTATGATTGGAACCTGCTTTAGAATCTTTAGAAGGCGGGTTGTTCTGGTAAAGATAAGTCACTAGAGGAAGCCTTTAAAGGTTATATCCACCCCTCATTTCCACGTGTGTTCTGCTCCTGGGTTCCTGACTGTGGTGTGAACCTGCACCATCTGTGTTCCTGATGCTTTGCCTTCCACTCCACTAGGATGAACTGAACTTTCTCTGAACCCTGAACCCAAATCAATCTTCAGTCTCAGAAGTTGTTACGATGGGTACTTGTCCACACTCATATGGAAGTAACTAATATCTGACCCTCATGTTTACATTGGCATTTGAAAATCAACATAGATGACACTGAACCTGATAAAGACAAAATGAATATTTCCCCTAATAGATGAATACTATTTAATCTGTGATTCAATTGGTACCAAAAGGTGAAAAGTGTTAAAACACTCTGACAGAAAAGCCCTACTTTTATAGGCTACAAATAAGAAATATATATGCCAGTTGTTGGTACAGTTCATTTTTAAGCTCTATTGATATTATGAAGTACCATTCCCTCGCTGACAAGTAAATTTCAAGACAATTTGAACTGCTCTTTGCATGCATACAATGGAGTATAGAGCCTTGGCACATACTCTGAGCCATTTATATCAACACCTCAATTATCTTCCTCCTCCAGCACATTAGAAAGCTAATCTTTTGAAAATACTTCTCTCTGTACCAGTGTCAGGAGACAGGGAGGGATTTGGGAGATGCAAGACAAAGAATCCAAAGCAGCAAATATATAAGGTGATAAAGTCCAGAGAGCTAATGTACAACATGCAGGCCACGTCAACCAAGCATTAAATTCCTTTTGCTTAATAATTGTTCTTGCCATAGGAAAATACATCTGTTTCCAAAAATCTTCCACTAGTACAAATGATGTCATTATTTTCTTATCATGTAAAAATGGTATATTTACTAGTTCTTTTCATTATAACAAATACTTTACATACATGTTCCTCATCTGTTATGTACCTTAAATATGCATAATAATTAAACATGAATGACTATTATGCTCCTTATCAGCTTAAATCTTTTTAAACTCTTACAGAATTAGCTCTGTAGCTTGGTATTGTGGGTTGTTGTTACTGAGTTTTCTTAACTATAGAATGCATGACTGAGTGGCATAGAAATTCAAGTTTCTATGTTCTAACTACACTGAACTCTGTGTTACAGCTCTGATGTTTCCTTTTAGTGAGTGTATATAATTGGCAACTAGTCAGAGCCTAGGTTTTCTGCTCTGGAAAATGAAGAAAGGAATAATAATGTTTTCTAAGTCCCTATGAAATGACAGTTTAAGGGGTGGTTTTTCTTTAAAAAATATTTTATGTAGATGTTTTATAATCTTCATACTAGTCATTTCCTCTTCACATTTTAACAATTAAATTGGCTTACTGGTATTTTTTATCAGAAGCATCTGTGTTGGTATGAGCCAGTTTTCCCTGGGGCCTGTGTTAAAAAGAACAGCAGACCTGAAATTCTAAGTCTGGGATTACACACAAGTGACTGTGAGCCAATTTGACATCACTTACATGGTAATCTATGAAGAAATAACACACTAGATAACTTGTTAAAATCCATTCGTGTATCTGACTTCCTGAAAACACTATTTTCAATTAAGAGGAAAAAAATAATAAAATATGTAACCTTTTGTTTGGACAAGAGAGAAAAGATCAAAAATAATTAGAGCCTGTCAGATGGATGTTCTAAAAATCAGTGTGTGGATCTTCAGGCAATTGGGATGTGGCAGATAAAGTGGCAGGGGACAAAACAGCACTGTCTATGAAAGAATGTATAAAAATCCACCCAGAGTTGTGGATAGGAAGTAGATCAGCTGAATTGTAGAGTCTGTACATGATCGCTATGGCTGTTTCCCAGTAAATATCTGTCATCTGCAATACTTTCTTGTGTTAATGTTGCCCATGGTTACAGAAAGTGTGTCTAAAACCCAGAATGGATATGGCTTTGCCCACAAAAGCCATTTAAATCCTGTATAAGTGTCAAGGCTTGCGAAATAACCTGAGAGATTTTCACCAAGGAAGAAACAACAATCTGGAATGCTGTGGTCAAAGAGCAGAAGCTGAGAGTGTCCATTTCAGCTAAAAGACCTTACTGTGGCCATGTTCTTTTGATTCTCCATAAAAGACTAGAAAGACACTCCTAAGCTTTGTAGGACTTATATAGCCGGGGTATGTAATTAGTCATCCAGCTTCAATGGGTGTTTCCATTAAAAATAGCTTTTAATTAATTAAACCCGGTGTTTGAATAGCTGACTGGCTGGGTGTTGACCAGATACTTGTGACCTAAATAAA